GCCAAATTCAAATGCATCTTTTATAAAAAGATCATTTACATAGCATTTTATTCACAAACATTGAATGACTTTGTTTCTCAGGAAAAATAGTCATTAACGTATTTTATTTCTCTCTCATGGGTTATCATTATGTTGTTATAAATATGGACACTCTAAAGAGATCCTGCTGAGGAAAAAAATATATATTTTTCCTGATAATAAGGAGAAAACAGGGGTAACTAATTCCAGTCAGCAATGATTTCAAACAACTGGCTTTGCACTTGAAGTGGTAGAAGATTCTGTTCAAGTCCACTTAGTAGTTTTGAGCTATCTATATATATAAAAAGGCTAAGTGTCAATCCGAATGGTGGCTATGATGTGCACTGACCACAGTGGGGCAGATGCTCAGCGCAGGAGCTGCCATGATGTGCACTGGCCATTTAAAAATAAATGGCACCACAGACCTGACACCGACAAACCAACACTCGGCTTCCCCCAAGTGGGACACAGGCCCCGCCACCACCCTGGAGCAATACCCTGCCAAATCGTAGCCAACATTGCCAGGACCCCATAGTGCAAAATGTGGCCCACCGCCAAGCCCAGCCTGAAAACAGTCGCTGTGGACACTGGGTAATGACATCACGTAGCAATGCCTGCCTTCCTCTCCCTAGCAACTAGCCTCCTTGGTGTTTCTTCAGCCCAGGAACCTGACTTGCTTTATAGCCAGGTGCAAACATTTTACAGTTTAACCAAATGTCTGTAATGCAGTTTCATGTGTCGCATTTCATTTGATCCTCACAGAAGTTCTGGAGTAGGTAGGTAGGAGACTCAGTGGAATCCTATTTTCATTTCATTAGCAAGACATGAATAGCAATATTAAAATATTTCTTCTAATTAATTTCCTTTCAATGTGCATGAATCCGTGCACTGGGACACTAGTTAAAAAATAAAGTGCAACTGTAGAGTTAAAAAAATGGAGGAAAAGTATCATTATTCAAATTGGTTATAATTATTTACATGAAGAAATTTAAGTAGTGGATTGACCCCCCCACCACCCCCCTTCCTTCTTTCCACTGTCAAACATTTGGTGCTTACCATGTATTTGGAATTATGCCAGTTTTGAAAAGACAAAAGAGTAGTACTTAGTCTTACTATCTTAAAATCTTACTAGTAAGCTTTGAATAATTGTCCACTGATAAAGTAGAGAAAACTTTACCCAAGGACTTATAAGATCAAGGGTTTTTTTAAGCCATACATTCCATGATCATTTACTAAAGGTCATATCCAGGAGTCTAGAATCAAGCACTTATATATTTGGGTAATTGATGGTGCAGCTAATAGGTTGGCCAGATGTGATCTTGGCTGATAAAAATGTCTCCACAGGAACATTTGTTCCATTCATGGGGTGGTGTGAACTTCTCCCTCACCCACCTGTTATGGTCCCAGCACAGGTAGGTAACTAACTGGTAGACACAAGTTGGATGGGGGTTGGAGGGAGGTGAGGGTGAAAAGGATGTAGGTGAAGGCCTGGGCAGCTTAGGTCAGGGGAGATGAGGCTGGAATCAGGACTGAGAGTATTATGTCAAACACTGGGAACCCAGGGCAGAGAATTTTGGGTAAGGGCTTAGTGCAAATTCAGAAAACAGTGAAGAGAAAGTAGGAGCAATAGTCAGAAGTCAAGGAGGAAGCAGAAGCTGCTGGGAACAATAACCCTGGGTCAGAGACAAGTCTTCAGCAGCCACAGTAGTTCCGGAACCAGAGTAGCCGCATTGAGGACAGACTGGCCTCAGGAATGGTTTGTCTTCTTGCCTGTGGCTCAGCCAGATGCAGGGCCTAAATCCCCTGGATGGAGGCTGTGGAGCAAAACAGATGGCTCCTGCAGGCAGCCTCCAAGGTTTCTGGGACTCCTTGGAGGTTGGCATGGCTACTGACTTGTCAAGAGGAGATGTAGATGGGGGTCTTGGGAAGGGCATCAATCCCCTGGGAAGAGTTGCTTTTGCCTCCTCCCCCGCCTCCCCTGCCCCTCCGCACCCCTGAAAATGCATTATAGACATTGGTTAATGTACAAGGCAGAAGGCTCTTCATAGGCATTTCATCAGAGAAGTAATTTCAACTCACTTACACAAGGTGACAGAAGAGCAGATGCATAGCATAGTGACATGCTCACAATTAGAGTGATTAAAAAAAATTGTGTCCTCCTCATATAATAAAGAAAATATACTCAGGTGGATGGGGTGATGAAAAAAGTTCATCAAAGGAGAACTCTGAAGAAAAGGAGTTTTTTTAGAAAAGGCATGTTCTTAGGTCTGTAACCTGTAGTCAGGGTTGAGAGGTGTGGGTGACAGTGTTCTGCAATTCCAAGTCATTTAAACACCATCATCTTTATATATCCCACTCCCTGGAGATTAAAACCCTGGCATTCAGAGCTCTGGTCAAGGGCTGATTTATTTGTTTGTTCACTGAACACTGATTAAGTATCTAAAAGCTGGGTGCCAGGAGCATATGATCCAGTTGAAGAGACAGCTATGTGCATTCACAATAATGATGAAATATGCAAATCTAGGTAAGCCTAGAGTACAGCCTGGGCTAGATTCCCAAAGAGCATAAATAGAGAAAAGCCTATCTCCATCTAGGATGGAATAGGGAGGTGACTCTTGCACTGAATTTTGAAGGGTGTCAGACAAACAAAAAGAAACAGTATTCTAGGCAGAAGGAAGGGAATTTGCAAAGGCAGATATGTGGAAAAGTGACATTTTTAGAGAGTTTGGTCTGACTGGAATCCAGGGAAATTGTGGAGGTGGGAGGTGGCTGGAATGACAGGCTGGGGCCCCATTCATTGAGGTTCTTAAGTCCCATACTGATATGTTTGGATTTTCTTCTAATGGTTATGCTGTGGACTGAGTTGTCCTCCCATGCCACAGTTCATATGTTGAAACTGAAATCCCCAATATGTTGGTATTAGGAAAGAAGCCTTTGGTAGGTAATTAAGATTAGATGAGGTCATGACAGTAGAGCCTCATAATGGGATTAGTGCCCTTATGATAAAAGGAAGGGAGAGAGAAAGATTGGTTTTCACCATGTGAGGACAGTGAGAAGGTAAGCAGTATGCAAGCCAGGAAGAGAGCTCTCACCAGACCCCAACCATGTTGGCACTCTGATTTCAGACTTCCAGCCTCCAGAACTGTGAGAAAATAAATTTCTGTTGTTTAACTCACCCAGCTTATGGTGTTTTATTATAGTAGCCCACGTTGACTAAGGTAGATCAGTTGGCTTAAAACATTTCTGGGGGGAGAAGGGGGTAATTTGTACTTTCATAAGCCCTTCAAAACATGTGCAGAAATCTAATGTATAAATTTATCTAGACTGTGTATATCTGTGTTGTCTAAATTGTGGATCAAGATGAGCAATCTAGTAGGTAGAGTAACATTTATTTATTTGATAAATGTTTATCATTCCGGTTTTGTGCCAAGGGCTTTTGATAGTGTGAAGTTGCCATGGTGACTAAGACAGTCCAGCCACTGCCCTCATGTGGCTTACTTCCTAATGGGGAAGGTAAAAAGAAAACAAATATAAGAGCAAGATAATTTCAGGCATTGAAAATACTATAAAAACAATAAAGCAGGGTGACATGACAGATAGTTTTCAATATGTAGTCGGGGAAGTCTTTTCTGAGGAGATGCTGATGGAACTGAGGTGTAAATAATGAAAGAGCCACCATATGAGGACTTGGGGTAGAGGAGGCTGCAAGTGCCCAAGAATGGCAGGAGTTAAGAGGCTATTTGCCATGATCTAGGGAAGAGGTGAAGGCGAGTAGACTAAGAGTGGAGATGGAGGAGAGGATTTTGAATTAGGAATGGATGGATTTGAGATATATTTTGAAGGCTAAACCTTCAGGAGGGTTGGTTGGGAGAAAAAGAAGAGACAAGTATGACCTCTAAGTTTCTAGCTAAAAGAATTAGATGGAAGATAATGCTGTCCTTGAAGGAAGAACAAATACATTAGTTTGATTTGATGGGAATAAAAGGACTAATTGGTACATTCATTGATTTTAGAAAATTTCTGGGTAGACTTGTTTCTAAGTTTGATCTCCTTCCACAACTGCAGTCACCATCATCTCCATCAATAAGAAATAGTAGCTCTCTGGTTCTAGGATTGACTTATAGGCTCCCACACAAAATCCATCACACTAATTATAAATAGGAACTAGTCCCTCTGCTTCTGTCCTCAAGTTATGTTGCCAGAGAGACAGAATCAGATAGACAAGAAAAGATTTGCAGGGGGGTTGTACAGTTAGATTGAGGTGGGGGAGGGGGCAGGTGGAATTTACCTTTCCTCTTTTTTTTCTTCCTTTAAAAAAAAATCTTTATTGTTGAGATTATTACAGATGTCCCTCTTCCTTCTCCTCCCATTGACCCCTTCCACCTGGTTCCTGCCCTGCTCCAGGCCTTCACCACCCTATTGTCTCTGTCCATAAGTAATGCATACATGCATATCAGATCTTTGTTTAATCTCTTCTTGCTTGCCCTGCCCCCCCCCAAGAATCATCAGTTCATTCCATTTCCATGCCTCTGATTCTATTTTATTCACCAGTTTATTCTATTTATTAGATTTCTTATGTGCTTATTTTGATTTTTAGATTTAATTGTTGTTAGGTATATATTTGTTGCCATTTTGTTGTTCATATTTTTGATTTTTTTTCTTTTTCTTTTTTCCCCTCTCCTTAAAGAATACCCTTCAACATTTCATATAATACTAGTTTGGTGGTGATGAACTCCTTTAACTTTTTCTTGTCTGTGAAGCTCTTTATCTGACCTTCAATTCTGAATGATAGCTTTGCTGGGTAGAGTAATCTTGGTTGTAGGTCCTTGCTATTCAACACTTTGAATATTTCTTGCCACTCCCTTATGGCCTGCATAGTTTCTGTTGCAAAATCAGCTGATTTATTCATGTTTTTGGATTCTTTTTTCTTTTTGCTCTACTGGTTGGGTGTGTTTTGCTTTCTCATATTTCAAATAGTTGATCTGATTCTCAGAATCCTCTATTCTATTGTCAAATTCCTGTATATTATTCTTTATTTCAGTCAGTGTATGCTTAAATTCTGACTGGTCCTTCTCCATTTTTTTGGAGGTTTCTAGAAGATGCTTGAATAACCTTATAATTGTGGTTTTGAACTCTATATCCAGTAGTTTGCTTTTTTCCATTTCTTTCATTTGTGATATATTTCTTTGTCTCCACATTTTGGCTGCTTCCCCATGTTTGTTTCTATGTATTAGGTAGAGCTGCTATGTCTCCTTGAGTTGGTAGAATGGCTATGTGTAGTAGGTATTCCATAGAGTCCAGTGACTCAACCTTCCCAGTCACCTGAGTTGGGAGCTCTAGGTGCACCCCTTTGTGTGCTATGGGCACAGTCTTATAGTTGAGACTTGATTGCTATTGGTGTCACTGGGAGGAATTGGCTGTGGGGACCAGCTGTGACTATAGTGGGGGAGCTGCTGTGCAGGAGACACCCCTATAGAGCAGGACTTCAGTGGGGCTTTGGTACTCACTGAGTCTGCCATTTGAGTGTGTCTCTTATGGATGTGTAGAGTTGTAATCTGGTATGGTCTGACACTGACCATTGGGTACACTGGCTCTTGGGTCTCCAGGGAGGTGCAAAGTCAGCCATTGCCTGGGGCCACCCAGCAGGAGCTACAGAGAGATCTTCAGATTCTTCCTCTTTGTATCAGATTTGGAAGTGCTCAGATGAGGCCCAGCTGTGAAGCAAGGCAGGCTGGTGCTGGGGCTGGGTCTTGGGCATTTTATTGACAGGGTTGGCGCTCCCTGACCCAGCTGCAGCTTGTTTGACAGGTTTTTACCCTGAGCAAGGAAAGGCCAATCATATGCAAAAGCTGCTGCATGGGTGGGGTTGTAAATTGGATGAGGCGGAATCTTAGGGAATCACCAGGGCAGAGCAAACGGAAATGGCTGCCAGTCAGCCCTGCAACCAGAGAGGTTCCAGCACAGGAACAATGATCCCTGCCAGCACCTCTGTCTGGGAGAAAGCCATTCCTGAGTTCCTGTCCTGATGGCAGACAATCCAGTTCCTCTACGTATCTGTCTGGGTTCCCCAGAGCCTTGCCTGGGACTGGAGCTCAGAGGAAGCAGGACCTTGTAAGTTCAGTTTATGGTGCCAGCCTTTTAAGAGGAACAGCTGGGTCTCCAGCAGCCTATATGTAAGTCAGCCCCAATCCGCACTGCTTTTTACAGCCCATAGTTCTTATTGCCCGTAGGGACTTCTTTTCCCAGCTCTGGGACCCTGGGCTGGGTGTCTGGTGTGGGGCTGAGACCCCTTGCTCCTCTGGGTGGTCTCCACAGAGGTGATCTCCCTCCCGATTAAAAAAGCGGCACGCGTGGGTGTTGGACCAGCCCATCCTGTGCCTCTGTACTCCTACCAGTCTCTGTGCTTTCTTCTGTACTTCTCTAGTTGTAGGACTTCCATTCAGCCAGCTTTCCAGTGGTTCGAGATGTTGGTTGCTCTGTATTTTAGTTGTAATTTTGATGCGGTTGTGGGAGGTGGTGAATACAGGCATTTACCTACGCCGCCATCTTCCCCCTGTCTCTACCTTTCCTCTTAGAGCCAACCTATGTGCCTGCCATTTGCCGGTTTGCTCTTAGATCCAATTCCCATCTTTCCCTTGCTCTGCTCTGTATCATGGAAAATTATATTTTCAGGTTTGTTGGGTCAGTGGGAGGAACTGGTAGAAAATTTCTGGGCAGGAGAAGATAAGTCAGGTATTTCTCCTCTTGCCCTGTCCTGGGTGAGGCTCCTCTCCCATGAGACAGCTTTCTTCATGATGCCCAGATTCTGTATGATGGCCCCTACCTGGTCCTAACTATTCTAAAGCCATATGATCCTGGGCTCTGATGATGCCATTTCCTTACACAATTCCTCCTGCCCCAGTGTAGAAGTGGATTCCTGCTGTGGTCTTATTCCTTGCTTTCTGGGTTCTTTGATTACCTGTTTAATCAATCCCCCAACTTCAATTTTCTCTATTTTTAAGATTCAGAGTGATTTTTGGTATCTTACGAGGATCCAGACTGATATGACATATATTTTGTCTGGTGTATTCTGAGAACCCTAGGTGTTAAGTGATCAGTTTATAAAGTCTACATTTTCTGGCTCTTCTCCAGCCCTCTGAATTCTTTCCCCATAACTTTTTCTCTTGCTCTCTACTTGTCTGAATTAAAAAATTAATCTTTTTGTTCTATGAGAAGTCAAACTCATTGCATTGTTGTCTTCTCTGGTTAGAAAGCTTTGCCCAGGTCTACATAAAGGGCCTGTTCCTAAATCAACCAGATGTCTACCTTCACAGCTTCAGCGTATCTACTCTGATGCTCTTCTTCATTGGATTAGACTTGCAGTGGTTCTCAACCTTCCTAATGCCGTGACCCTTTAATACAGCTCCTCATGTTGTGGTGACCCGCAACCATAAAATTATTTTCGTTGCTACTTCATAACTGTAATTTTGCTACTGTTATGATTCGTAATGTAAATATCTGATATGCTATATGTGTCTTCTGATGGTCGCGAACCACAGGTTGAGAAGCGCTGGATTAGAGGATCAAGAGTTCCACAAATTAGCTTCTTTGCACCACCTGTTTCCAAAAGCAAATCTACACTTTCTTTTTGAGACTCTACTAGGGGTATTTAAGAGTTCTGTTTACTTTTACGATCCTTTGATAGCATAGGCCTTTGACATTTACACACCAGAAGGAGCTCTCAGGTTTCATGCAGGCATTACTAGTAATTGACACTATTCAATAGTTAAAGAAAAAAAATTTGTGTTTGGCTTATAATATTTTCTGGATGTATTGTGGAATGTTTTGGTCAAATGCCTTAGTTGGAGAACAGTAAAAACATTTGATAAAGCCCTTTTTTTTTTTTTTTAAAGTAGAGTATGTTGTGATTAGAGGAGGCCTGAAAGGAGCATATTTTGCCTGAGGGCCTACTATTAAATTTCCATATGTCTGGACCAACTCATTCTTTTAAAATGCAATTGCCCTTTGGAGAAGTCCCATCAGTCCTTCTCTGCTGGTGTAAATACTACATTTAACTTTCTTTTTAGCTTCTGGATAGATCAGATTTTGAGGACATGAGAGTTTAAAGGCAATAATAAATAAAAGTAGTGTTGGATTTTCAGGAACAGAGGCTCATCCAAGAAGTCTGGCTAGGCATATTGGTGTGTGTGTGTGTGTGTGTGTGTGTGTGTGGTGTGTTGTGTGTGTGTGTTGTGTTTGCATGTCCTTTGAGTGAGCAGCTGCCAAAAGGGTGGTGAGAAGAAATCAGTGCTTTTTTTAAATACCATTTTGTCCAGGTCTGTCTCTAGAGCAGGGGTAGGGAACCTTTTTCTGCCAAGGGCCATTGGGATATTTATAACATCATTTGCGGGCCATAAAAAAAATGATCAACTTAAAATTAGCCTGCTATATTTGGTCAAACATTTAACTAACTCACCCCTAATGCCTTGGCAGGGCCAGACCAAATGATTTCCTGAGCCTTCTATGGCCCGTGGGCCGGATGTTTCCCACCCACGCTGTAAGGATGGCGTCTTCTCCAGAGGAATAAACATTCTGGGCTGCGGAGGATGTGTTTTGTGTTATTGCCTCTTGCCCTGTTACTCTAAACAGAAATTCTGTTTGGAAATCATTAACTTTGATAAAGAACAACTTTCTAGAATGAATGGAATCATGTTTCTTGCCTTGTTTACACATTCCAGTGAACATATGTTCAGTAATACAGCAATTTACTCAAGTGCGTACGTGCTAATGAGTCATTGCTAGTAACTATTTAACTCTCATTCGTGGATTTACAGGTGCTGTTGGCTAATCTACTTGTCTAGGTTAAAAAACCCCAAAACTATTCTCTTATCTTTGATATGCATAAATAAAATTATATGTACTGTTTCCCATCTGGTGAAATCAAGACGCTATAATATCAGCAAGCTCCAAACTAGATGGCTCTTTCAATATCCAGCCTGTTTACTTTCAGGAAGGCTCTGTTGATAAAGCAATTTACATTCAACAGGCGCACTATGGCTCTAACAACGGGTGTGAACAGGGCAGTGGGGATGATCTATAGAATGCCATTTCATCGTTGCCTCCGACTGCCCAAGAGTTCTAAAGAAAATGCCATTTACAATTTACTTTTTAGATTTTTACATGTTTAATGGCTGTTCGCATTTTTTTTTTCTTCTGGAAATGAGTTCCATCCAGCTAGCATTCACGACTGTATTTTTACTTTTCTTACCACCGGTGTAGTAACTGGATGGAGAATAATGAGTAGATTTGTGTATACATTTTTGGTTTTTATCTTTCATGTTGGATTACTGAATTTTATATAATTGTTGATTTCTTTGCGAGGGAATCTCAGATATCATATAATCATTAAATTGCTTTCTGAAATATGTTTAAAGTTAACTTACTTAAGTGTAGGGTTTAAGATTTTGACAACTTAATTTCTTTTGAACATAAGTCACTTTTTTCAAGCTAGGAAACAATCACACTACGGCAGTCTAGTTCCCTAGGGACCTAGGCCAAATCTTGAGAATGACATCACAAATACAAGGTGCTAACAATGAGGTTATAAACTCTAACTAACTCTTATCTACATTTTCCCTTAGAAAACAGTCAAAAGTCCAGTCCTTAATGGCATGATATCCATTTTAATCTATAAAGGATAGAATTACCCAAATTATATGGTACCCAACCTAATGGTGAGCCAGATCAGAGCTAGACAAGGAGTGGTGAACAGAGAGTGTTAACATTTTGAAAACTTGCTCTGAGGTTTAAAATTCCTCATTACTCTTAATAAGAAAGCAAGTAAAAAATATTACAGATGCATCCACACTAATATTTGATTTTGCCAACATCTTTCACTGGAACATGAAGTTAGAGCACAGAGAGTAAGATACTTAGGTATTTTCAAAATAAATTACTTAGTAATAAGAAATTTGACTTACTGCATTCTTCCATTTGTTATAAGAACAAACCACCAATAAAGAAAGACTATTTAAAAGAAGTGCTCTACTTAAAAGGGTGGTGGCAGCAATACTTTCCACTTTCTCCAATTAACATTACTATCCTTCCACGATAGAGGTTCATGTGGAAAAACTTGTCAGCTTTCTGTCAGGGCTAGGAGATGAAAAATAGAGCATGCCCTAATTAGCTCATTGTAAACTCAGTTAACATCTTTAGGATAGACCCATAAAACCTGGCCATTGTTTTGTTAAACATCTGAAAACTGTAGAATTTCTTAGCCCTCAGCCATAGATTCTGCTCAGTATCTTAAAGCTGAGCTCAGTCCCACCTGACTGCTTCTCAGGGCTGAGGTGGGTACCAGTCATCAAGTCTGAATTGTCACGTAGGAGTGACCCCAGTAGCCTTTGGATGCATAGTAGTTGATAAGTAGGTGGTAAAATCCTGGCAGGAACACCAGGATGCCATGATCAGGACAGGACCTGCTGTTCTGCAACACCCCCTTTGCTGATATAGCCCACCAGCAGGAGGAGCCTATGATAATGAGAAAGGTGCCAATCAGAAACAGCACTGTAGCAAGTGCAATGGCCTTAAGTGGGATCTTAGGTGGGCTTTTCTTAAACTGAAGGTCAATGGAGCCTTCATCTGTGCTGGAGAGTCATGAGTATTTTTCACTTTACTATTAGGGATTCCAGTAGCCAGGTTGGTACCAGATAGCACCATAACACACTGACACAGCTACCATACAGAGCACCGCGCCAACTCACCTGCACACTGACAGCTCACTCATGGCACGCCTCACCCAATTCTGATTTTTGATATGTTGGGGTTTAGGACAGACATTATAGTGATTAAAGAGTGATGACAAATGGCATTTTAGTCACATAGCTGATATATAACCTGGAATTTGCAATATGAGGTAACAAGCACAATGACAAAATGCCGGTGTGCCAAGGTTAGTAGTACAATGTCATGAGTTAGTACATGGGTACCAAGTAAAGCGAAGTACCAAGGATAGTGAAAGAAAGGATGGAACAAGCCTGCATCCATGGTGATATTGTTGTACCACTGTGCTAGCCTACACTGCATTTTTCCTATTGTGATTTCATATTGTGGTAATTAAATGTCTCTTGCTTAAGGTTGTTTCTTGCAGCCAAAGCCATTCCTAACTGATCTGATGTCTCAAAAACCAAACTTCTCTTTCCTATCTTCCTTCTTGTTGTTCCTCTTATATTCATCAGGTAATGGCATCCACCAGTTGCCCAAGTCAGAATCATGAGGCTCTTTCTCACCTTTATCTCATTCATTCCCCTTGAGTATAGAGACTGTTTCTTGCTCATTCTTTTATTTCCAATCCGCAACACAATACCTTGTACACAGGATACTTAAAACATGCTTGTTGAACTAAATTAAATTAGAGTGACCAGGTTATTTAAAGTCACGAGTTAGTACACAGATACCAAGTAAAGTGAAGAGGATCAACTTGAGAGATATTTTATTTAGGCTATGTAAGGTTGATAAACTAGCCTTGCCCCTCATCGTAGAATATTTCTCCGCTGACTAAAATTCTTTTGTCACCCTCATTATATGTTTCTTTCAAATAGACATTGTTGGATTAGCATTTTTTTCCTTCTTGGACCCTTGTTTTTAAATTTTCCATGTTGAAACTCCTCTTTCCTGACATTAAATCAATACTATTAATTAAGGTACTGCCAGTGTTGCTCTTCCTACCTTTAATCTTGTAGAGACATTCTGCATCTTTATATTGGCTTTTGCTAAAGTCTGCTTTCTTCTTTTACACTGGTTGATGATATTAACCTTATTCTCAGAATCTTGGGTAAGTTTTCTGTCTACTTACAGAATAAGGATATAATGACAAGTGAAGGGGCTCACAATCTTGTAGGGAAATGGAGATAACACGAGATTTGAAGTGGGGAAAACTCTGGGGTTTGTGTAGCAGCAGCTCTTGTTCGTATGGTTTTAATGAAGTCATGAAACCCAATTAATTGTTTTATTACATTTACAGTGAGAAGCAGAATTATACCTACCTTGTCCACCTCACAAAACTGTCATGAGAATCGAGAGTCCTGTAAGCGTAAAGCTTGTATCATGTGTCTATTCTAGGATGCAGAGATTTGTACTTGAACCACATAGACTGAGCAAGATTATTATAGAAGGGGAGAAGATGGATCTCCAATAGGACAAAGTTTGAGCAAAGAATACATAAATGTCCAAAAAGCTAATTTATAGGATCCAGCCATATGAGACCTTTGATGCTTGAGGAAAGTTTCCAGTTGACTCTTGTCTACATGGTGTGGAAATTACTGGAAGAAGGATTGGGAAGGTAAACTGCTTTGACATATAAAAACTCTTGATAAAGCTCGAAGTCCTGTTTAGCTTTTCCCAGGATGGCCATATTTGACTAACTTCAGCATCCAAGGAGGGCTCCAAAGCAGCCCTCAGGTAGAGTAATTAGAATTGAAGTGGGGCCCTTGTTCAAACTTCTCATGTTACAAAAAAACTGAAATTCAATGAAGGGAAATGACTTGCTTAAATTCATTGGCTAATTATTGTATGATCAGGACCTAGAACTCAGGTCTCTTGGCTGCTGTGCTGAGAGATCAAGACATGTTACAATAAGTTACAATATATTTCCAAGTAATTCCCTTACCAATAAAGTTCAGGCACCAAGATATTTGAAAGATTTACTCTTTTGTTTTAAAGAAATAAAAGCAAATTCAAGGTTATCCCTATACTCATGTCCATATCCCTTACATTCTATCATTTCTTGAAGAAGAGAGAAAGCAGTGGGGGTTACAGTCAACCTGGGATACCCCATGAGAGTCTTTTGCATAGGTGAGCATCCGTTGTGTCTCAACAGAGTAAGTTTAAACTCCGCAATGTCAGATCATATGATGCTCAAGAGAACCTCTGAGCATCTGCCTTCTGTAATTTTCTTTTTCCTTTAAAGGGAAAAAATGTGACTTAATTTTCCCTGGACACAATGTTGGATGAAGGAGGACAATATGCTTAAGAGGCATCGGCTACTTTTTATTCTCTCTTGTTTATCTGGAGTCTCAAATTTCATTGGATATTTTTGTTACAAGTTTCTGCATACTTGCTTATTAAATTCATTCATACCGTCATTTATTAACAAATATTAAGAGAGTCTATATGTGTTAGACACATAGATTAAAAAGATACAGATTACCCAATAAAGGGATAATTTGCTAATGTTTATGCTTCTAACTTTTAGGTTCCAAAAGTGAGTAGAAATGGTTACTTTAAAAAAATAGCACTGGAATAGCAGTAAGACTCTGGTGTGCTATTTGGTGATGAGCCTTCATTGGCCAGCTGTGCTGTAGGGCACATTAGAGCACTTAGTGGAGCTGAGTGCATTTAAGTGGTCATTCAATAAATATTGGTAATGATGGTGATGATGATGTTAGTGATCACAGTGACAAGGATGAAGTAACCATGGCACCTTGCAATTTGTGGTAAACAATGGCAATTACATAGCAACGCCTGTGGTTGTCTTCCAGACAAGTGCCTGAAAATATTAATTAACTGGAGAGGCAAAGTCTCATAGTAACAAGCAGGCTTCAGTCAGGCAAACAGTGGAAATCAGTATTAGGTGGATGTCTGGAATAAACCATTTAATGTATGAATTACAGTGTTTCATGGTACATCTCCAAAGAGGAACTTGTTGGGAGAAAAATATCTTTGGAGAATTTCAGGATGAGGTTAATGTGGTCATGAGAACTGGACAGGGTCAGTGTGGACTCTAGTGTTTGAATCAGTAGCCATTAAGCTATAACTTTGCTGAATGATGATTGCATTGGATCCCAGTGGTCCCATGGCTGTTTTGTTTTGTTTTGTTTGTTGCTTTAGTTACTCTGAGGCCATGGGTTATTGGTAATGGAACTGTGAGTCAAGTGCAAAGGGAGAGTAGCAGCTCTAATAATGTGGCTGATGAACCTGGATCTGTTTCCATCTCACATTATTTGTCGTAGTGATAGATGAATGAATGCTTGCTTCTCTGATTACTAAGTTAATAGAATCCTTGGCCAGCCCACTAGATGCAGATATTATACACAAATCTATAAAGTCTTATATAATGTGTTCTGACATGGCATTTTCGCTAAGTCCATTTTCTCTTCTCTTCTTTTACTTTCTTTTCTTTTTTCTCTCCTTTTAAAAAATATTTTTATTGGTTTCTGAGAGGAAGGAAGAGGGAGAGAGAGAGATAGAAACATCAATGAGAAGAGAAAATCACTGACTGGCTGCCTCCTGCAGGTGCTCCACTGGGCATCAAGCCCACAACCTGGGCATGTGCCCTTGACCAGAATCAAACCTGGGACCCTTCAGTCCACAGGCCAATGCTCCATCCACTGAGTCAAGCCAGGTAGGACAAGCCCATTTTATTTATATTCTAAATTGTTTTGAATTTAGAATATAAATTCTAAATTCTACTTTTGAATTTAGAATATAAATTCTAAATTCTACTCTAAATCATATGTCAAACAAAACACAATCATTTGTTATGAATTTATCTTAAATCTTAGACAAGAACCCATTCTTTTCAGAATTGAGCCTTTGGAGTATTTATTTCAAATTAAGACTTGAATAAAGATGTGAAACATTATCAGTATTGATTTTGTTACTTGCTATATCTACCTTCTGTGGGGGCAGCTTAGCCTGGGCTAGTGAAAGTGAGGGGTGGAGACTGAAGAAGCAGGAAATGGTGAGTTTTGTTGGGACAGGGCTGAAGACACAAGCTGAAGTCTGTATTGATGTGGAGTTAACTCAGTGGGCTGACAGACAATGTAAATGGGTCCAGGCTTCTGTCAGTAGGAAAGAGAAGAATGACTAAGTGCAAATTAGAACATAATACTGTTTAACACTCCCCCCCACACTCCTCTCCCTCCCCAGGAAAAGAAATAATTTTACAGTTACTCCATGTGTCACCATACCTCAGGTGCCCAGACCTAATCCAATCAGCTCCAATAGCTGCTTGGAGAAGGTAGCTAGTCTTCATAACAATTTAAGGTGGGGAGTTTTTACCCCTTTTCAGAGATAATTATTCTACTTAATAAAACCCTAATATGCAAATTGACAGAAATGTAGAACGACCGGTTGCTATGATGCACACTGACCACCAGTGGGCAGACACTCAATGCAGGAGCTGCCCCCTGGTGGTCAGTGAGCTCCCACAGGGGGAACGCTGCTCAGCCAGAAGCAGACTGCTGGCGAGGGCAGCTGCGGGGGTGGGAGCCTCTCCCACCTCTGAGGCAGTGCTAAGGAGCAGCAAGGTGGGCAGTGAAGAGCAAGGGGTCCCAGACTGAGAGAGGGTGCAGGCTGGGCTGAGGGACAGACCCCTCCCCAGTGTACGAAATTTCATGCACCAGGCCTCTAGTAGTAGATAAGAGACTTTATAAGTGCTTTGTATGAATGATTATCTTATTTAATCCTCAAAACACACTGTGAGGCAGGTTGCATTTTACATTTGAGGAAACTGAGGCTTAGAGATGTTATGTCAATTGCCTGAAGTTTCACAAGTGCCCAAATAGTCTTCCCCAAGAGCTGTTAATATTGCAAAGCACATCATAAAGGTATGAATGATTTAAGACTTGGAAGATATGTTATGTTCATAGTCTTTACTAATATATTCAAAAAGGAATTACAATATAGCTATCATCATAAGACTACTGACTCTAAGGTAG